TAAAGTATAAAAAAAAATGTATAATTCAGATGGCAGAATACTGGCAAATGTTTTCCATTAAACTGTCCATAATAGGCGAAATTCTTTCTTTCTTTTTCAATATTTATTAATGGCCTACACCCAGATACGGTTGCATTTCATATAAATTCAGATAACTGGGTCAGCCGTCAATGAGTTTAACCGCACATTTGAGCTTAAATACGAATAATTAAATGCACTTATTACAACAAAAACACACACACATACCTAAAATTGCATTTAAAAACACGTATGTATGTACTTATGCATATGTATGTGCATTTGTATAGATGAAAGTGCCTATAGTCATGTACGTATGTATAAAGGCAGGCAACTCATCTGATAATATGGAAAACGTTCGAGGTACGAACATAAATTATGATGATGATGATGATGATAATGATGCTGATTGTGATGATGACGACGGCACTGGGGGCGTCACAATGCCGAGTGCTGCTCTCGATGAGAGAAAAATGTCAAAGGAAACTCATTGGCCTTGTAACACTTTTTTTGTTTTAAATACTGACAAATGTGGTCACGGAGAGTTCTTTTCGGAAAGAAATAATGGCGCAGCAAGTAGGACAATTTCACAGACGCATACACATAATTAACTTGGGGAGAGTGCTTTTTTAATACTGTTAATTTTGACATATTTGCGATTTTTTTTTTTTGATAATTGTATGTATCTTAAGTTTTCGACTAATTTTTTCATAATTATTAGAAAGGAATGGTAATTTATATAAAAAATTAAGTCAATTAATTGGAAATTGAATGTAAAATTCTTTAAATTAAATTTATATCACAAACTTTTAAATTATGTGCAACAAATTCGTTTTTGACTATTTTTCTTCAAAACTCCTCTATAAGCATCCGTATTTATTCTTCTTATCTCGTACACAACTTTTACACGCACGTAACCCTTGGTATAGATAGCCACCAAGCCTTATCTCCATTTAACCTGACTCTTTGCTTACATAAATTTGTACATAAGTAGATAACAAAAGATAGAAAAATATTTAAATTTCGTTTATCACGCATGTGAGATTAGCAAGTTTCACCGCTACAAATTAAAAAGATAAATAACAAAAAGTAAGCAAGACTAAGTTCAGATGGATGCAAACATTTACATGAATGGAGGGAGTTCGTCGCTTATATGTGAGGTAGGTCTATTTGCGAACCCATGCCAGCCATTTTTGTGTAGGCCTTTTGTTCTTACCTCCTACTAAGCAGCACCTCAAAGGAAATAACAAGCGGCGCAATAGGCGGACACTGTCTGATAGGGGCTTTTGGAGACACAGACGAGGAGGAGCCCGGTGACCACTGCCTTCACCACTTCCTCGCCCTAAGTGCGGCCTGACATCCTCTCCGCGGTAATTTCTACTTTGACTGTCTTGCAGATATTGCTTCAGTAATCGTCAATAATCTCGTGTGTTTTATAAAACTAACAGACAAACTGTTTCAACATATAGCTAGGTGAGAGGATTCTCTTTTATAGTTCTTCCCCCCCAAAGGTATCAACACGGGCCAACAAGCCTACATAATCCCGTGATTAAGCAACCTTATTAACTAATTAACGAGCCCTTATTAAAAGTAGCTTAGAAATCCGGAACAGAGCGGGGGGTGGAGAGTAAAAGTTTCGTTATTTGTGAGAAAGGCGTAGCTTTTGATCAATTACGCCCATCTTGAATTTTAGAGATCGTGGGGACTCTACGTGTCATGTTCTATTGAATTCCTTTCAAAGATTTCTGAGATAAACTTATGACCCGCCAATCCAAAAATTTATTAAAAAAAATTATCATTACAAAAACACTTGGTTTAATATTTGTTATAAGTTTTAAGCGACATAAAGGCTATTTGTTTGTATGAATTCAAAATTTTAATGTTTGTTTGATGTTCAATTGGAAAACCATTTAATTTAATTCCAACAACTTTTAAATCTGCTAACGCGCAAGTTATCGCCCGGGCTCTAATGGCGCAAAGCGAACGTGTTTGTGTCTATTTCTCGATGGATGTGGTTCTTAAGGTCAATAGAACCCTTGACTTATTGATATAAACCTTTGACAACAAATGACCCCAGAGAAAAAAGTCCGACGTTCTCAAATCTGGTGCGCGCGAAGGCCAGTCAAAATCACCGGCTTTTGATATCCCGCTCCCAGAAAAAATGATTGCCAAAAAAGCTATTGTAGCGCGAGTTGTGTGAGGTGGTGCGCCGTCTTATTGAAATCTGAAGTCTCTTTCACGAATAGTTGGCAATAAAAAATCGACAGTTGTTGGTTATCCACGTTCATCTGCGAAGAAGAAGAGCCTGATGAACATTTCAGCACTAATTCCACACCACGCGGTCACTATTGGGTCTTTATTTATTTGTATTATTTGGAGGTTTACTGAGGGCGCGATTTAGCTTTGATTTATCTGAAGTTTCTTGTCGAAGTTGCAGTGATGCCAGATGCGTCCATCAAATATGGCCAACCCTGCAAGTCTATATAGTACTTCGATTATTTTATGCCGTCAGCTAAACAAACCTAATATACTCTCCGTGCACAGTACAGGCGAATGCAAAAAAAGTAAAATAAAATAAAACTCTATAAAAGCGGCTCTTTCTTAGCACACACTGACACAGACATAAATGTATGAATAAATTATTTTATAAAAATGTCTTATAAATGCTTAGAAAAGAGATTACATGTAAATACATACATATGTGTATATGTATGTTAACAAACAAGTTGTAAATGTTACAAAATGAAAAACAAAAAAAAAACAAGTATTGAATATAACAAAAAAGCAATGTAGAAGTTTTAAACATAAATTAAAAATATTTTCATACATACATATGGTATATACATATCTCACACATTAACTGTATGTTGGTTTCCGATACTCTTTGCGCACTCAGAAAATGTTCTAAAATCTCTACAATGACAAGTCAGCAACAACTGCGCGACATTTGCCGTTCAAATATGCAGACAAACGTCTATTTTAATTCGGCCGAAATTGAATTTGAAATTTGAACACACTAATGAACATACATACAATATAATATATATCGCAGAGAGAAATGCGGTGCAAATGAGCGTGGATACTATGAATAAACATTTTTTTCGCGTAATTTTTTTTCGTTAAATTATTTTGTCTGCTGTGGCAACTGTCACTTGTTCTAGCTGAGATTTACAAAAAAAATCCAGTTTAACACTGTGACTCTTCAACAGTTGATTTGTGTTAAGAAGTTGCGGCTGAATGCAGCTACAACGACGCAGTTCGGCAAGTACCGGCTAACTCGCGTACACACACATATGTACAATACATATATATACATACATATAAATATATATACAATCTGCTATCTGTTTTTCCAATTTCCGTTTTGTCATCGGCAATTGCTCTAAATAATTTAAATAGAAAATTAAAAAAAAATAAATGATAATTGCCATTCGGAAGTTCAAGGTTCGGTCCCTGGTCCGAGCAATATCTAAAAATTATACAAAATTCATTTAATTAAAAAATTATGGTAATTTTTCTAAATGCGGTCGCCCCTCGGCAGGAAATGTCAACCTCTCCGAGTGTATTACTGACATGAAATAAAAGCTCCTCACAAAAATCCATCGACCTTTCAGAGGCGGCTTAGTATAAACTGTTCGTTCCTTAATTCGTTGGGAAAATATCAAGGCGCTCGCCTCAAGTTGTAAGAGAAGCTTGGACGAGTGATTATTACCCTTTTCCAAAAGCAAAAAAGGAACTGAACAGTAGAAATATTATCACCGAGTTTGAACTCAAGGAGGTATCGTAGTTTTGGCGTATTTTTAAAATAATTTATTGTATGAGGGCATGTATTGATAAATTTATAGAAAAATCTGAAAGAAGTATCCATGTTGCAGTTAAATATATTGAAAATAAAAAATTCCGTATTGAACAACTTTTTACCGCTTAGGCGATGAGTAGGCAGTTCGTAGGCGTCTAAAATCAAACAAATGCAAGCGCCGACATGTCGTATGAGTAACCTGAATATTTTAAAGTGCAGAAATATGAGTGCATAATGTCTACATGCATACATACATCCAACATGCATAAACAGCTACATAAGCGCTATTTGTACATATAAATATCCGGCTTATCTTTGATTTATGATATCATTTTACAACAGACAGAAAATCATAATAATTAACATTTCCTAGGCGACGCACATCTACGAGCATGAACATTTATCTATACCTGCATGCACATATTTATGTTTGTATGTATTAATGACGCAGCAATGTCAAGGTAGAGTGCACAAATGCCACTACATATTAAACAAATACATTTCGAATTAGTTTGCTTTGTTAAAGAAAATTAAAAATAAAAATTTACAACAATAAACTTGACTTGTCATTTTACATCTGTGCACAACGTACATACAAACATACGCAGGCGCACAAGAATAAAGCCACTTGTAAGCTGTCTTCATATTTAAAACTCCGATTTTTTTTTTTTTTTTAATTTAATTTTTTTGCATGAAATTTCTCAAATATACAAAAGCTTGCACGTTGAGCTGCTCAAATTACGGCCATTCGTATAGATGTGTACTCATATATGCAGTTTGTACCAATGTATGTGTGAGCATGAAAAAAAAACAAACACAAATTAAGCAAATTTATAAATATAAAGCAAACATGATACACGTGTAGATAACTTTTGTTTATGCGCATATATAGATATACATATATGCAGATATATCGTATTTTTATATAATATGTATAAGTATATAGAAGTCCATAGCAAATGTGATAGTCATTGCCACTCATACACATGCAATACAGACAATAATTTACGATATTTATGAACAAACTGATATAAATGCAACAGTAGAGGAATTTATTCTCTTGTCTTATATAATTTTTTACCATCCATACATTTACATATCTACAAAGAAAATAAAACTTACAAATACTTTATAAAGAAAATCTTATGTATATATTTTTTTTTTGCAATATTTTCTTTTTTAGATTTTGCAAAATTTGGGCAAAGTCGATCGGACTGCAGATGATATCTTTGATGATCATTTGAATAATTTTAATCGCCAACAAACTAATGCCAACAGATTACAAAAGGAGTTCAACAATTATATCAGATGTATTCGTGGTGAGTATTTTAGACAAATGTACATATGTATATATAACGGTGTTTTAACACTATATGCTTACTTTTACTTTTATTTATTTATATTTTTTTTTTCTTCCTGTAGCCGCTCAAGCGGCCTCCAAGACCCTAATGGATGCCATTTCCGAAGTCTACGAACCACATTGGGTTGGCTTTGATGCATTGCAGGCACAAACTGGCGCTGCCGAAAGTCTTTGGCAAGATTTTGCTCATAAATTGGCAGATCAAGTATTGATTCCTTTAAATACATATACAGGACAATTTCCGGAAATGAAGGTGAGTTGGTGGAGAATGAATTAGTGAATAAAAAAAAATGATAAATGCATACATCCATATAAATATGTATAAAATATATATAATTCTCAATTCATATTTGTTTTTTTTAGAAAAAAGTAGATAAACGCAATAGGAAACTTATTGACTATGATGGCCAGCGGCATTCGTTCCAAAGTCTCCAGGCCAATGCTAACAAGCGCAAGGATGATGTAAAGGTAATGGTGTAGCGAAAATAAAAGATTTCAATAAATAAAATGTTTGCTCGTCTTTCCTCGACGCTAAAAGTCTACCATGCCGAAATATTTGAACCTTTCGTGACCTTATCAAATTTATAGTTAGTCATTTTATGACTAAATTTTAATTTTCATATCATTCATGATAAAGTTTTCTGATTTTGATATTTTTCGGTGTCAATATTTATTTATAAATACGTATGTAGAAATCAAATCTCAGATTTATATATACATATTAGCGGATTTTTGGACCAAAACCTTATATCTGTATAAGGCTGTATGATATAGCCTTCAGTACTATTATATCATTCATTTTATACGGGCAGAATACCGAATTTCATGCTCCTAGCTGCTTTTTTTTACGGATTTATGATCCAAAATCAAATCTGAATAAATCGGTCATATTTATGTTGTGTATAGTGGTCTGAAGTGCACTTTTCCGACAAGAGATTGTAATTATACCAATGTGCATATCTGTGCACCAAGTTGAATGTAAATATCTCAAAAATTGAAGGTCTAGTTAGCATACAAATAGGCGGACAGACGAACATCGCTAAATCAATTCAACTCGTCTTCTGATTCGGTCAGTGTACATTTCGATGGATTCATCTCTTCTCCTTCTAGTACTTACATACTTCGGACCAAGTTTCCATTTCATGTTAATCAGTATCAGTAAGTATAAAAAATAGTGTATAAAATTGAAATTGAATTGAATTTGAACAAGTAAAAATTCGATTCTACCATTCGATTCAATATCTTCAATTTGATCATTATAACTTGAACAAAAAGTTGACTTTAAAACGTTTCAAAGCTATGCTCTTTACCTTAGATTACTACTGTTGCCTCTATAAACCATCTATAAAGAAAATGAGTGCTTTAAATTTATTGAAAAAAATAATAATTATGTCGTCTACAGCTCACCAAAGGACGCGAGCAGCTAGAGGAAGCTCGCCGCACCTATGAAATTCTCAATACTGAGTTGCATGATGAGTTGCCCGCCTTATATGATTCGAGAATACTATTTTTAGTCACCAATTTGCAGACGCTCTTTGCAACGGAACAAGTGTTTCACAATGAAACAGCTAAGGTATGGGTCAAATAAAGACATATGAAATAGAAAAAACGGAATTAGAAATATTAAAATGAATTAATTAAAATATTAAATCGAATCTTCCGCAGATCTACTCCGAGTTGGAGGCGATTGTGGACAAATTGGCAACGGATTCTCAACGCGGCTCGAATACGCTACGAAAGCAAACAAGTAAATTCATGGAAAGTACGTTAATGTGGCATGCAAACTTTTTTTCCTTTTTCTTTTATTATAAATAATTTTAATTCGTAATTTTTCTCGGCCTCTCCTACCCTGCCAGGCACTGCCTTTTCTGCTCCAAGCCCCACAAAGACGTCGCCATTCAAGCAAATGAACAATACAAATACCACCAACAATAGCAACTATCAAAATCAAATCACTACAAACGGTTCCAGTAATGTCAACAGTCGTAAGTACTTTAGTACACGCATTACAAAAAAACACTCATTATTTATATATATTTATATATATTATAAATTTTAATTTCAATTTTAAAAATCATATTTAAGCGCTACGCTTTTAATTCAAAAAGATTTGTTTGCGAGTATCTGTTGTAGTACCAAAGCGCTGTGGTGTGAATGTGCAAGTAAAAAGTGCGAATGAATTTAAAATTTATTATATATTTATCTGTAGATGTACGTATATATTTCTAGTCACTTTTAAAGTCATCTCGTATATTGTTTTGGACATTTTAATGTTTTTTTCATTTCTATTTTCTTTTTGCAACAATTTTTGCTTATTTTCTTTTCAATTACTTTCGTTTGTGTATCACGTACATTTAGCCGAATAAAATGAAAGAGACCTTTTTTTTATTATTTTGACCATATTTGCATTTGCATAGATTTTTATTTAAAATTTGCTTGCTAAATACGATTCGATTAAAAATTTTATTTATTGATGATTAATATAATTACAAAATTTGTAATCATAAAAACGTATAATATACATATGTACATATGTATGCATTAATTTATCACAAAAGTGTAAATTGCTTAGTATTGTTTATAGTTTAATATATAAATTTATTGCAACCTTTTTGCTATCGAATCGGAATTCAATATATTTTTCTCTTTATAAGTGAGTTGTAAGTGAGCGCTATGGATTTTCTTACTAATAACTGTATGATTATTACTGGTAGAATAGTTTTTAGTAGTTATGCAAATAAAGAAATAAATAAATAATTAGACTAAAATATATTTTTCAACTGCAAACTCACTGAAGAAGAGTGGAAGATTTGTAGTAGTAGTATTATTAATATTAATAACCGGCTGGGTCATGCTCTCTTAACAGTAAAAACCAATAAGTTAACTGTCCATCCGTTTCAGCCGGGTGTCTAATGTTCGTTGGCGCGCGAACTAAGGTCATATCCTCTTTATTTATTTATATAAACTTCTTTAATGGTTTTAGTATTAATATTAACAAGTATTTTTAGCTTTTAAGCACCAAAGTAGGCAATTTTTATTTACAAAAATCCGCTGTCTGTCCGCTTTTTGTTTAATTTTCATTTTTTTTGTTCTCTGAATAAAATAAATAAAACAAAAATTATTAGCATATTTGGCAAGAACCATAAATAAATTTATGAAAAATACAATTATTTTCGAATATCCATTATTGCTTTATATTAAATTCTAGTAGTGTAGCAATAAGGAGTGTGTATATGTCTGTGCGCTTTTTTTTATTGAGGGCTTCGCTTACAATTTCGACATACAAAATTTTGCATGTTTTTATTTCAAATATTATTGTTTTATGAATTTTGTTGATTTGCATGCATAAAGAGTTTCTTATTTTCTTGTTTCCCCAATTTTCTTTTTTTCAATTTTTTTCCGTTTGTTTCGTTTCGTTTGGAATGCTTCTAACAACTGAATTCTGCAACCAATTTTCAACTAAAACAATTAACCACATATGCAAAAATAAAAAAATTAAAAAAAAAATGGAATAAACAAAAAATTGGCAATTGGCATACCAAATTCGTAAATATTCATTCGACAACAACAACAACAACCACGATCACACAAAAACGAACAAAAACAAAACAAAAAACAGCATCATCCACATCCACAAGCTCCTCACATCAAACATCCAGGCTTGACTCAGTTTCTCCAACACCAGAATCCACAGCGGACAACTTGAAGGCCGCCGACAACGCTGCCATCCACTTGAACAACAGCATCGGCACTGCATCTTCGCCGGAAAATAGTCCTCACGCTGGAGCTGAAGTAACACCACCACCCTACCAGAGCGCAGCGACACTACTTTCATCCGTTTCCAACAACGTGACGCCCGACAATAGCAACAGCAGAGCAGTAGCAGCAGCAGCAGCAGAAGATCCGTGCGAAGCTGCTACACCAGAGAGTCCAAACGCGAATACCACACCTGTTGCTGCGGCCGAGCAAAACCAAAATGCAGCTACAGCCGAAGCGTCCAACACAGCCGAGGAGGTGGTAGTCAATAACAAAACCGCCTCGAATGGGACAAGTGCAGCGGCCAATGCCGACGAAGTCAGCAGCAATCCAAGGAAGTCCTTGAAGCTCACACCAGAACAGCTGAATGGCAATGCTAACATCAACGAAAATGCAACGGCGACGCAATCAACCAACGGCAATGCCAATGCCGCTTCATCTGCGGCAGCAGCAGCAGCACCGACAGCGACAGCGACAGCTACATCGACGGATGTGAACAATGGCAATACGGATGATGCGAATAAGAAAACAGGAGGTAAAGTCATTGAAAAGTCACCAAAAAGACACAAAGCACAATTATTGAACCCATTGAATTTGTTACGTAAATCTCGCGCTGCCGCCACGTCTAATAAAGGCGATAATGTTGAAAAACATGCCGCTAGCAATAATGACCTTAATACCATTGTTGATAATAATAATGATGCCCAACCGAATGTTGAGCAAAATATTAGCACAGAAAAAAAGAGTGAAAAAAAGTTAGCAGCACCGGTTAGTAAGAATCCTTTCGAAGAAGATGAGCAAATCTACGACATACCAAGCGGTGAGTACACACCTCGTCGTCGGCACTGCGCCACCAGTTACGAGTACATGCTATGTAGATCGGATACGATCGTTTGCTTCATCACTACTCTACTCCTACTTCTTACTTCTTCTTCTTTTCTTAAACACATGCGCCTCGTTTTAAGAGTATTTGTACAAAAAAAAAGTAAAAATCTATGAATATATGTATGTATCTCAGCTGTACAGGCATTATTGTGTTGTGTGGATGTTTGTAAAGTTGTGCCAAAGTGTAGAAATAGCTTTCGGAAAGACCGCTGCATTCACTTGTAACAATATTTAGGGGCAGAAGCTAGGGATTTGGGCTATGAATTAATATTAGTTGGTTGATAGTTTAGTAAACAAAATAACTGAAGCAAATGTCACTAACAATGGTGGCGGACAAATTCGACTTTTAACACAGTTTTGCCGTAGACGTGTCTATGTACATTTATTTAGATGGAAATTAATAGAAAATTCGGATACTTTCGTACCACTGCGGGCCATAAATACGATTTTTGAAAGTAATAGAAATCGATGCTAGCACCATTTGGAATAACCAAACTCTGCCTTTCATAATCGTTAATTTACTTGCCAAGTGCGTCAAAAATTAATTATTTACTCAATGCATGATCCATTTGTAACGAAGGAATTAGCTAAAGGGTGGAAATAAAAAATCTAAATTATATTTTCTCTTCAAAAACTACCTCTTTGACTCCATCATCGGTGGTACACTTTTCACCCTTCAATTATTTTTTCATTTTCGAAAGGAGGTATTGATCACTCAGAGCCAAGTCTGGGCTGTAGAATAGGTTATTCAAGATATCGAAGCCCACCTTGAACAGGTCAGGCAATGCAACGCGGCTTTTTTCGGTTGTTCTTGTAAAAGCATAGGTATTCTTGACACCCATCTTGCGCTGGCTTTAGTCATGCCCAGATGAAGGATTTTAAAAATTTTTGTATCTAATACTCCAAGCATTTCTGTGAGTCTTTTTTTTCCTTTAACCGAGCATGGTCGCAGACAATTTTTTCAACTTTTTGGATCTGGCGTGATAACATCAATACTCCTGTCTGGCTTCGAGTCATCTTGTAAAGATTGCTTTCCTTGTTTAAACTTTGCCCCTTGTACATCATGTTTTTTTTTCCTGTTAACAGCCAGTTTTAGCATATGCGAAGCACATCTTAGTGACTTGAGTTAAATGAATTTTGTGGAAAAATATTTGTAAGGACGGATCCAGCTAGGAAAAATGTTATATATTGCCCTCCCGCCCACAAGATATTAAAGAAATTAGAAGAGGTCAAGTTTTGAAGGAAAAGTTTTAAATTAATTGCAGTCACGTAATGTTTTTGAAACGATTTTGCATTATGCATAAGATTTTGAGCTCTTTCCGCTGTAAAGATCATGTTTATTTGGGATTTATGTAGTTTTTTAACTAACTAATTTGACTCTCCCTAAAATATCGTTTCTGGATCACTGATAGTTTCCCTACAAAAATTTTCACTCCAGCTCTACCGATCGATGAATTTTCAGCTCAAATATTGGATGAGTGCATAAGTTCGTGCCCGATTTCAAGTGCAAACTAAAATTGAAATTTTTTGAAGAAAGCGCTTTGATTAATCAATTATGTATTCGCCATCATGTTCGGAAATCCACTCCACAATTCACCAATTTACGGATGCCTGATTCTCCAGCTGGCAAGAGCTCAAAATAGATCACGCCTCGGATATCCCACCAAATGCNACAGTTCGGACTGTCACCTTTCCAACGATATATAATATGTATACATTTCTTTCACGAGCGCCACTCTCAACCGATTCGAACGGCATCCAGCGCAATCGGGCACGAACTTATGCACTCATCCAATATTTATTTTTTTGACACTGCGTGTTTTGAGTAGCAAACAAATCGAACTGTAAATACGGTTTTGAGCAATATCTGGACACCTAAATATGAAAATAACTATTCATTAAAGCAAGCGATAACAAGTTTTCTGATCTCTAAGGGACAGCATTCAAGGAAAATCTCATTCATTTATGCGTGTGTAGAATTTTTCTGCCACTTAGGAGACGTTGGGCTGTTATTTCCTACTTTTGCTTGAATGAATTGGAAACTGCAAAAAAAAACTTTTTATTCACATCACATTACGCTTTAATCATTATATTTTTTAATTTTCTCATTTCAAAAACCAAGTCTTTCTTTCTTTTTATTTTTATTGTCAAAACAAAAACACTTTACACATTCATACATTAATTAAGTAATTTATTATTTACGATACATTTTATTTTCGACTGCATTTTTTGCATTATTTAACCTAAAATCGCATACAAATGCAGTTCGCTGTCTTGTGTTTCTATGAATAGGCACGTGTTTTTTTGTAACAAAACTAAAATGTGTGTGTTTTTTTTTTCAAAATTTCTTTGAAAAAATTACGATTTTGGAAAATGTGATTTTATTTGGAATTGCCCATTAACACCAAACAAATTGATGTTCTTTATTTTTTTTTTAGCTAACCCTAGCTGTTGTTGAAATCCTAACCGAAACAAGGACAATAAAATCAATTTAAAAAATACTACTCATAAATAATTGTATAACGGCTCTTTTTGTTTATGATTACCAACGCAAGCTGTGAAATTTCTCAAAAAATAAAAATAAAAAATCGCCCTCACAATTAATTCTTCTCTAACCCTCACTTATGTGCTAAATGTGCGGCTTCAACAACGAAAGTGTATACAAAGTGCCAACCGCAAAAAAAAGCAACAACAACATCCAAAAACTGCAAATAATTATTTATTCGATTTGTTGTGCCTTTATATACACAAGTTGTCCGAAAAATTGCGAGTGCTAAACGCCGGTCTCAGTTGAGAAACCCACTTAATAATCGCCCTCTGATTTATTCTATTCCACAGAGGCTACCACATCGGATTTGCCAGCGGGTGTGCTTTACCGTGTCAAGGCCACATATGGCTATGTGAAGGAGGACGTCGACGAGCTTAGCTTTGAAGTTGGCGATATAATACGCGTCATCGAGTATGACGATCCAGAGGATCAGGTAAATACATATAGAACAAATGAAGTAAGAATATATATATATATATATATATATATATATATATATGCATTAAGTCAATGCAACTTTGTAGTCAAGCGAAATCTTCCGCTTGAATCACCTACGTCGCAGTCGGTCTTTGTTTAGAAAATAGTTAATGTAATACACTTTTGCTTGTGAAGGGTATTTTTTTAGACATGTGGTTTCAAGATGAAACCAAGAATTTAGTTCTATTATGAAGACAAGGGTTTGCCATTATAAGCAAGTGACCCTTGCGACTGGCTTGAACAAATTACAACCGAGAGGATCATTTTTCGACCACTTTTCGCTTGTCAGCAATAACGTGGCGAATATTCTTTTCCAAGCCATCAGTCATATCGGACCTATTTGCGTATACAAGCGACTTCACATAACCCTTCAAAAAATAGTACAGCAGTTTTAAATCGCACGTTCTTGTTGGCCCACGACGCCAGATAATGCGCTCACCAATAGTTTTCTTCAATAATTGATTGTTGGCTGTATGGCAGCTCGTCTTGTTGAAACCAAAGGTCGTCCACATCAACTTCCTCCAATTCAGGCACGAAAAAGTCATTAATCATGACCCTATAGCATTCCCTATTATGGTTGGCTTCATTTTTGACTAACAAAGACTTTTTGAGAATTTAACGGCGTCTCAAGAACGTCTTGTGGGTTATCATTACTCCAATTGGGAAAATTGTGTTTATTAACGTACCCCTGTAACCAAAAGTGAGCTCAATCGCTGAACAAAATTTTCATGTGAATATCGGGATCGGTTGCCATATCGTTTTGTGACCATTCATCAAATGTGCGACGGTAGGTCGACCGAATATTGAACGCCAGCTGTCGAAAAGACGAACTCCGAAAAAGGCTGCATCATTGAAAACCACACGTCTTCGACAAAATCATATCATACCATATATCACCAAACTTAAGTAATTTGGAGATTCCTTCAAAGGTTTAAAATGTTTCGTCATTATTTTGTCTTTACATAAAACTTCACCCAACCCAAAAAAAAAAAAAAACAAATCCCTCTGTGTACTTGTCTCGTTAAATGTCCCCATTCATGTTCCGTGACTTTATTAAGCGTAGTTCTTTATTTCGAATTTACAGGAGGAAGGCTGGCTGATGGGACAAAAGGAGGGCACAACCGAGAAGGGCCTGTTCCCTGCCAACTTCACACGGCCGATCTAAGCACATACACACACACATATACACACGAAGCAACACAGCAGCATCAGCAGGCCAGTGCAACGAACAAAACAATAAACAATAAGGAAGAAGAAGCAGTAGTTGAGAGAAGCCACATAATTAATATATATATAGAGAGAAGATAAAAGTTTAAGCTATTATACATAGTAGGGAATGACAGTCAATGCAACCCGAGGCATAATTGCGACAACAGGAATCGGCGAATGAAATTGGCTGCACGAAAGCGAAAATTGTTAATATATTCTTTATTTTTCTTTTGGAACTTTGTATTATAAATGAAATTTTTTTCTGTAGAAAAATCTATTTCACTCTATTATTCTAAACGCATACACACATACGTATAAACAAGAAAATATTTATCAAAAAGGCACCAGTTAAAATTTGTTAAACAAATATGCTACTTTATGCACATTTGTATGTCCGAATAATTCTTTTTGGGTCCGTATCTTGTAACTATTTACTATAACTACTACTAGTAAATGCTACAGACATAATACATTTGTAATTGTATTTGTATGTATACACTTTGTTTTGCTCATCATGCAATATTTTTATAATTTTTATCACTTTTATTTTTCCTGTTATTAGTATTGTTTTTATTTATTTGTGAAGAAATAGTAAATTGCATACATACACATATTCAAAAAAAAAAAAACAAATGTTTTATTTTAGTTAAATACTAATCGAAAAAAGCACGCTTTATGAAAATGTATTCAAAAAATAATATTTTTTTAATGTAAATCTCTACGTATTTTATTACTAAAATTATGTGTTAAAGACACATTTTCATTTTTAAATTTTTAAAATTTGTATAAAAAACTATTTCTTTGTGCTTTTGTAATTAATTTCTTTTCCGCAGTGCTTCCTTAAAAACTATTCAATTCAAATTGAGCTTTTTTCAATGGAATTTAGATTAAATATGCCATTTATTTATCAATTGTCCTTACATATCCGTTTTCCTTCACCAAGGATCAAATCAACTTAAATCCAAGTTGAGTAAATTTTTATTGTTATTGTTAATTTTTTAAATATATATTTTATATATACAAGTATATAAATATATACAAAAATGTATATAAGAATGAATAAGTTTCAATTCAAGTTGGTTGAATCGCAGCTGGCCAAGAGCGCTGATCAATATTTATTAATTAACCCGATATGTATGTATTTATTTCTATAAATATGTATTTCGTCATTGGGTCATTTTTACACAGTAATTTCAAAGCCCAATATTTCCGCTGAGAACAAATCCTTTTGATGAATGCATCACTTTTAATTGTGTTTAAAAAAAGTATGCGCAAGCGTTCAGCTGCAAAGGAGAGACCTTAAAACACAAAAAAGGATGTAGTTCATACGGCGGTGAGAATAAAGCACATAAAAATCATTTCGTATTCAAAAACATAAATATTTAAAAGAAAGTAAATTAATTAATGCAATTAAAATGCAAACATTTATACAATATACATACATATTTAAAGAAAATTTACCTATTTTGTAGTGATTAAAAGAAGAAGAATAAGAAGAATAAGAAAATGTTGATGCACTACAAACCTGTTTTCAGGCATTTTTTCGTTACTCAAAATATTTAGGAAAAACAACATAACTGTAAAGATCGACGCAAATTTACAATTTACACATTTGCTGTACGCAGTCGGAATTTTTGCGCAAGTCATAAATACATACACACATACATACGTGTATATGCATAAATATAATTATTATACATACATACATACATACATATGTATGAAATAACAATCTACTTACATATGTTAGTAGTTAAGCGTAAAAAGAATCATTATAATTAAAAAAAAAAAATTAAAATAATTTTGATATACTTACATAAGACAAGAATTCAAGTCACATAACGTAACACACCCTTCTCGATATGAAGATATAACTATTATAAAACCAAAAAATAAAATGAAAACAAAAACAAAAGAGAATAAAATCTAAAGCCAGTGCCAACATATTGTATATCCGAATAGGGAGACTTCAAAAACAATTTGAAAAATCAAAAGTCAGTCGCTGATCAATGCATATTTATACTTACATAAAAATATAAATAAAAGTATGTATAAATTGGAAGTTAATTAAACTAAATAAATTGAATAAAAATTAATGTTAATTTGCGTTTTTTTGTTTAATCGCTTGTGGTGAGTTGTTGTAATTTTATATTTATTAAAAAATAATGTTATATAATCCTTTATTTTAACTATACACGTATGTAAATGTTTTTATAAGGAGCGTTTGAGCAACGAGTACTCACACACTCGCTTATTACTCATTACATTTTGAGCGAACCTCTTTTTTTACTGTTTGCTCAGTACTTTTATCTATCAATTTAAATTTCTTTATGCAAAGTGAAATACTACAGAAATTTTGACAAACAAAATTGAAAATGGAAATATTTCAGAGAAACATTTAAGCGAACGAGTACCGAGCTGCTCGCACTGCTCGACACCGAGGTATTTAGCTTTACTGAGCTTTACTATGTAAAGGGTTTTCCAATAAGAGGCGTTATTTAGAATAGCCTTCTATTTAAGTAGATGCTACTTTTAAAGCTGTACTTTTTTTTACATTTGGCAAGCACAAAATACACCCGTATTAAAAATGGAACGGGAAATTATTTTTTGAATATCGAATTAACAGTCGACCAAAAGTAGAAGGTCTGTTGTATGGGAAAAAAGTCTTTCTCTGACACTATTACCGGTAAAGTATATTTTGTTTCTTTTCTTTAACACCCGAAATTGAATTTGGTATTCTGGCGTGCTGGTTACAATGTTTGAAAAAAATTTGGCAGCACTACTTTTTTCCCCCATGTCAAATTACATTTGCCAGTTGATAAAGTAAAAAGAAAAATATTCACATCGAAATGGAAGACGGTGCGCAAGAAATTAAATCATAAATATTTGAACGTAATTATGGAAAATATGCCTGGACAACAAAAAAAGCTGAATGAAAACGATATCTTACAAATTAAGGGGCTATTTTTTGTCTCGAAAACTTCTTAAAATACGGCTTTTTGCACTTTTTTCTTCATCTTCAATGAATTCCAGGCCTAAAATATGCCTACCCATTTTGGTTTTTATTTTTTTCTGAAACTAACAACACAAAATCAAACAGCAGATATATTTGTTACCTCCTATTTCGCTGGTAACAAACTTTACAGGGTAACAGGGAGCTCAGAATACGAAATGGTAACAAAATTTACTGAATTTACCATTTGATACCTAGGGAATTTTTGCTACCTCGACAGAATAGGCCTGTGAAGTCATGTATAGTCCGCCTTTAGTGCACATTAAAAGCAATCTATTTACTAAGCTTGGTTGAGATCTGTTGATTAATGCCTTCAATATTAGATATAGAGTCAAGCAGGGGGTAGAAAATAAAAGAGTAGTTCGTTTCCTGAACCTCCCGTTAGATAACCTCGATGACTTATACTAGTCTAGGTCATGTCTCGTTTTATGCAAGAATTCCAGCCAAATTTTTGGACGGTGTAACCATTGGTGGAATCAAAGAAGGGAGGGGGCTTTTACTCTGTTAAAAGAAATCTGAGTGTAACTCATCCATCTAAAGTTTTACAACCAGTTTTCTTAAACGCGGATGCCTTCCAGCAGGGAATATCAATCTTTTTGAGTGGAATATGAAAATGAGCATTTTATAATGCTTCTGCCATGAGTATCTATAAATATAGATTCATTGACGGCGGTTGTGTACAATATTTAAAAATTTATATTGACCTTTTTTCTAAAAAAAAGTTCTCATTGGCAGTGCCGAATTTTTTCTACCCTGCTTTACTGTAATCTATAACCGTGTTTTCACATCGTTTCTTTGGCATTTCGTTTTCGTTTAACCTGCTTTGCCGACTGCGGGTATAATGTTGTTTTCTCCCTCATTCCTTGCCATTCATTTCAGTAGTGCAGTGTAATTTTTCTTGTGTGTGGTAATGAAAAAATTTTGTAATTTTTTAGGAAAAAATATAGAAAATATTGTCAAATTAGTAAGAAATATGTGATAAACTATAATCCAATGAATTGTGGGCAGAAACAAAGTGCAGTAAATGTGAAAAGTTTGCTTGCGGAATCTAAATATTTTTTTGAAAATTGCCAATAGAAAAATTGAATACACCACAGAAAAAATGAATGAAAAAGAGGCTGGAGAAGGTGTGAAATGCAAAATTTGATTGCAAAGAAATGGCTTTCAAGCTGTTTATTTAAAATTTTAGAATACCTTTTATTCGCAAATTAAAATATTTATAGTGATTGGATTTTGAGAAAATATGAATGAGCAAAACGGCATATAAATAATTACCGGTAGTACTAAATCGAAAGAATTTTCTATTATTTTTTTTTCTCTTAATGAATGGTGTTTTTATGAACTAAAGCATGATTGTGTGCACCATTATGCACAATAAATTATTGAATCAAATGTCGGTGTTTTAGAAAAATATGTACAAATTGTAGCCTTAGTGAAAAATTGTCTATTCGGTTTTGTGTGCAAAATGAATGGCTTAGAATTCGGCACTTCGCTCAACTTTATGAAGAATCTAATTACAAATTTGATTAGCCAAAACCTACAATTGGAGATAGTAAAATTAAAATAAAATATTTAGGAAAAATTGTGATTTCGGGTGCAATGGAAAATTTCTTTTTCGGTTTTTTTTTTTTCTTCTCAGCGGACCTCGCCCGTCAAATATACATCGTCGGTCGTATTGTCTGGCATGTGTGTATTCGCTTCGTCGATATCGTAGTGTAACTATTTTGCTGTTCTACTGCGCCGACAAAGCAGTGCATGTTGCGTATATGCAGGATAAAGTGCGAGTGCGAATGAGATGTTTATATCACATGCACCGATTGACATCAGTATTCTGATGCAAACTTGTGTCATAAAAGTAAACGAAACGTCACGCAATTTTGCTTTCTTGCTTATATTTCTTAATTCTCTTTTATACTACATTTTCCAATTGGTTATGGACTCAGCAATCGTCAAATGATGTGTGAAGATACATTTTAGTAATTTTTGCAAATTTCTAACAAGAAGAAACGAAGAACAGTAGACAAGAAAAAATAAAAAGGTAAACAAAGATCGATGATACCAATGAATCTTCGCCTAACTACGAAGTTACTATGAAGGATTCCGATGCATTTCATAGGGAATTGATGTACCTTCATAAATATGCATGCAGTGCTACTGCTTTTGCATAAAATTATAACAATCTGCAGCGTTACTCCATTAAGGAAATTTGATAGTTTCTCTGGATCTCGAAAGTGTCTTCATAGATACATATACGAGGTGTGTTCAAAAAGTATCACCAATTTTTAATTTTCGCGGGTTACGTATAATCGAATTTCGATTTTTTTGTGGCGTTATGTTGGTACTTATGTCTATCACTTATGCCGACAGCCTCGGCCATTTTGAATGTTCATTTAATTGTTGACAGCTGCTTTGCTTGCACGTGTTTTGGATGGTCTTCGATATTTACCTATTCAAAAAAAAGAATCAAAGAACCTGTATCAAATTTTGTGTGAAAAACGAAATAAATGCGCGGATGCTTTCCAAATGTTGTCTGCCGCATTCGGAGAAGCTACCTTGGACCGAAGCAACGTTTATCGGTGGTACAAAATGTTCTCAGAAGGCCGAGAAGATGTGAACGACGGACAGCGTGCCCGACGCCCGAGCACTTCAACAACAGCCGAAAAAAATAATGAAGTGGAAAAAATGGTATTGGCCAATCGTCGAATCACCGTTAGTGAAGTTTCTGAGGACCTAAACATATCGATTGGCTCCTGTCATTCGGTTTTTATCAATAATTTGGGCATGAGACAGTTCGCCGCGAAATTCGTACCAAAATTGTTCAATTGCGTCCAAAAACAACATCGCATGAACATTGCTAATTAGATGTTGGACTCTGTCCGCGACGACCTTAATTTGCTCCAGAGGGTCATAACTGGTGACGAATCGTGGGTTTATGGTTAAGACGTGGAAACCAAAGCTCAATCATCTCAATGGAAGCTACCGCAGGGTAGAACGGTCAATAAGGAATATTACCTGCAAGTTATGCGCAATTTGCTCGAAGCAATCCGCCAGAAACGCTCGGATTTGGGGAAGAACAAAATTTGGCTTTTCCACCACGATAACGCCCCTGCTCACGTATCGTTGCTTGTGCGCGACTTTTTGGCCAAAAACAACACACTAATGATGCCGCAGCCACCGTATTCCCCAGATTTTGCCCCCTGTTACTTTTTGTTGTTCCCTTAACTGAAGGGGCCCATGAAAGGACAACGTTACGCTACGATTGACGAGGTAAAGACGGCATCGAAGGAGGAGCTGAACAAGATAAAAAAAATTATTTTTTGAAGTGCTTCGAAGATTGGAAAAACCGTTGGCACAAGTGTATAAATACACATGGGGATCACTTTGAAGGGGACAAAATAGATATTCATGAATAAATAAATAATTTTTGAAAAAACACAAAATTCGCTATTTTTTTTGAACACACCTCGTATGTATATATATATATGCTTACTAAATAATTGCATATGGTGCACAACTTCCTCCAGCCTCTTTAATTTCAAGGAAAAAATGATTGGTCTGTTAAGAGATTTGAATATATCCCACTATTTTTACAGGTTTAATGTTTAAATAACTGTCTGCACTTTTACGAAAAGAGTAAATAGAAAACGTTTCATTATTTAAAGAACGCAAAGATGTGCATGGACATGGAGGCGCGAAATTAATTTTAGAGAAGAATTAGTAAAATAAAATATTTCCTCTTCCACGGAGAAGAGTGTATAACGAACGAAATAATAAAAAAAATATAGAAAAATTTAAAAGTGCAGCAAAAGTGGCCGAAGCGGAAAAATGTTCCTTATATTTTAGAGACGTGTAGCATTTTTAAAGAAATGAATGATCAAGGCGATATATGCAACATATGGAATCGCTAACATACCTAGAAGGAAATATTGTAATTCCGATTGACCATAGAACAACAAATGCAGCAACAATAGTTCGCCAAAATAGCAATATCATAGTTTCTGCAGGGATTCATTAAAAAGGATTAATTTTAAGGAAAAGAAACAAACCCACAACAAAAAAAAATAAATAAATAAACCATTCGCCTAACATTGCTTCATTGAAGAGAAGCAACAACTACGACAAAAAACCACAAACTTTTGATACGAGTTTCTTAAGTTTCTAAAGCTTTCAACACCAAACAATTTTAATTGGTAAGTATATCTAAAAAATTATATATAAAATTGGGAAATAATTATTTTATTATTTGTATTTATATCTTGTAGGTTTTTAAAAAACATAGTCCATACAGATATGACCTAATTGTGCTATGTTAGCTCAAAGTGACAACATATTTCCAACATTTTCGAAATGAATCATGTTTAGGGTGGTACAAAAAATAGAAGCTAATATCAGATTTAGAATAATGTGTACAAGTACACATATATTTATTATATTTCAATCGGAAAGCAGTATGTAGAATTTCTAAAATAATTCCTGCATTAGGAAAGCCTGCACGTCATTGACAATTGTAAAAGATTTTTGTTTAAAAAGTCTTAAAGCTACCTCTTAGAACGGTTTTAATTACACAAGTCTCATAAAAAGTGTAAAATCTGTAATTCTTAATAAAATACCCCAAAAAGTCTATACTGTTGTCGAAATATATTTGAAAACCGAATTAACCACATGATCATTACACGTATAACCTAAGGAATCAAATAAAAATAGATAGGTTACTCATTGTGTTATTAAGAGCAGAGAATGCATATGTATGTATGTCTGTTCTTAAAAAGTAAGATATTTTCTCCACCATACCTCGTTACAGATGCTAAAACAAGTTCCACTGCTCTTATTATTTAACTGAATTGTGATGAAAGATGTGGAATCTTGACGTCTAATTCATATTCACTTATCTCAAATTTATCTATACTAAATCAACAAAAGCCCACACGATCTACCTATGCACAAAAGACATGAATTCGGGGCGGACTGAATCTTCTTATCACATAGACACATATCACTTCGGTGAAGAAACCAGTCAGTTATGCGCACAGCTGCTGAGTTTACTCGAGATTTAGAAAAATTTATTATTATTATACTTGCTTTATCATTATTATTATTATTATATACTAAACTACTGGCGATTGTATGTATGCTTAATACTAGTATATGTAGAAAAAAGTCGTCTACAGCGGCGCCAACGGTGATATTAGTAATAATAAGAAAATTAACGTCACACAAAACTTTAATTTAATAACAAATAGGAATACAAAGCAACATAGAATAGAGAAAATGGTGTATGAAATTTCATATAGTAATTAGAGATTAAAAGAAAATACTTTTTTCTTACGATAATAGTATGTATGTAGATACTTTGTACCAGAAGAACTAAATTTTAGCATAGATATCGCTGTCAAATCGATATTTGCATCCACTAGCATATACATATATGTGTACATATGTGTGTGTGCATATGTTAATATGTTCCTACACCTTTTATAGATAACCTGAAACAAATCTAGGCCTAAATGTATATTAGATTTGATGATAGAAATTCAATTCACTTAGACTTCGCAGCCTTTTTGGCTTTATTGGATATACACGTATGTATATACATTGAAGTACATTCATTGTACATAAGTATGTGGGTTCCACGTTTACTGTGGAAACTCACAAGTCTATGCTAAATTAGCTGATATTTATCTAATCTTGTATATTTCTCTTTCCTTCAAGTATTTTCAACGATTTCACATTTTGTATATTGTATTTTCTTGTATAGTCAATAACTAGACACACTTTTCACACATCAAGCTGGAGCGAAGCGTAGGTTCTCTTGCACCTACATACATATGTACACGTATGTATGTATCTATGGAAGCACACCTCTGGCATTGGAAATGCTAACGCGTTACCGTTAATTAGATTTGAACTTAAAATAAAATAAACGAAAGCATACACCATTATTCATTACAAACGTACATAACATACACTACATCGCATATGCACTTGGACAAATCTAAGTAATATTAAACCAAGTCTGCGAGAACTCTCTTCATATTCCGATTGACTTTAAATTCACGTAACATGAGAAAAACCATCAGCTATTTGCCACATTTTCATAACATAAAATAATATTTTTTAACCAGAATTAAGACAAAAAAATACAAATGTACAAAGAGCGCTAATACTGTACTGTATAGTCTAAACTACTTACATGCATACATATCTACATCAGTATTTGCCTATTTGTGCAACAAATCCTTGGTTAAAATGCAATTTTCCATATATTCCAATAGCAACATAGATACCATACTTACATACATATATGTATTTTGAAAGAAATTAAAAAAAAAATGTGTAGAATTCATTAACAGTTCAAAGTGAGTGTAAATAGTTGTAGTTGTAGCTGTAAGTATTGATGGTCTCGGAAAAAGAATTGTCCGAATAAATCTGACTTCAAGTTCTAGACATGGTATGTACATATGTATGTATGTATGTAGCTATGCTTTGTTGCGACCTCTGCAAAAATCAATGCTAAAATTTGTTATTGAAAATAGATTTACAAATTGTTGAGGAACTGCTGAATGACTGGCACATACATAGATATGCACAGTGCACAGTGCATCCTTAAACTTGAGGCAACCAGATTTAGGGTATGTTAGGTATGATGAAATCATACTTACAAATATGTTTTCCTATTATTTTAAAACTTTAAATTCTAAACAGAAATCTTTCGGAAGTCTTGGAATATGTTATTAAAATAATTAGGCCCAATCGGTGAGCCGCTCGTTTCATTGCTCACTAAATATTGTTTCTATGTGAAAAATTATTCTGAAATTTCTCTAAATACGAATAGTTTTTATAAAAGTGAAAGTGCTATTAAATCCGGTTAAACAAACATTTTTATATATATACATATGTATGTAGATTTTTATGCGCATTTTTTCTACAACCAAGCAAACAAACCTAGAAATTCATATTGAAATTCACCACACTTCGTTTTAGAACACTTCACACCAAACACGTTAATTAGAGGCCGCGCGAGCGTCCCTACCATTCAACTACCCAACCGCTAACCACCCACCTACAATCTCTGGGTCGCGGTAAGAGCGGTAGGAAGAAACAAAAAAAAAACCGTGAATTTAGTCATCAACCATGCAAATGGACTGTGAAGTTCAAGACAATTGGATTAGAATGCACTTGACGACAGGCGGCAATAGGTGAGGAGGTTAGCGCCGCCCACATCTCTGATGGTGTGGTGGTAACCGAACACCTGTGCGCCCATACATACATATGTAGTTATTACTAGTTCGCTTGACCAGCAGTTGGTGTGCACACCACTGGTCTTTGTTGCGTCGAGGTTTTAGGAAGCCCTACATGACCGACAAATCGGTGGATGCATGTGCGCTTTGGGACTTGAGACGTGTCTGGTTCCGTGACTGCTGTGCAGTTCTTTTTAGATTTTTTGCCTCTTCGGTAGGCCGCGCATTGATGATCTTGCGTGTGTGCGAGCGAACTTAGGAGCGATGAGTAGTTTTTAAAACATTTTTTACGTTTATTTTCTAAAATTGACACAACACAGTACACCGTTCAAGCGTGAAGATCCAAAGAAACGCTCATCTCTTGCTTGACAATTAACTCTGAAGTGAAACAATAAGTGAGATATTCTCAACGAAGCACTAAACCAAGTCTGCCTTTACTTAAAAGTTAATAAAAACGATTTTTTTTCTTCTACTTTCAGATGTTTATGTTTTTTGTTTTTAAATAAAGTCTTACAAAGTAGAAGAAACGTTACCAATCGCTGGCTGCAACTTGAAGATTTGTAAATACTTGTGCAATAAATATTGAAGCTTAAAGCGGAGGAGCAGAGCTTCTTCAAAAAATAAAATACAAAATAGCATATAAAGTGAAAATTTCATGTGAAAGCCAAAGTTCAATTTCAAATTCTGCTTTGCATACACACATAGGTGGAGATAAGTGCGTATTTGTTGACCAGCAACATCGATTGTTGCAAGAAGGGAAGTGACACGGCGATACACTCCTATCGAGGCGGTGGCAAAGGAACTGAGGCACCACTTGCAGTAACTAATATTATTTTTACTAGCCCCGCCATCATTGGCCACAGAAAAGTTGCAACAACCACGCTCCTCCACGAAGAGCAAAGCGCAACGGTGGTGGCAAGGCGGCTACATCGAAAGCAACAGCAACAACAAAAACAGTGCGAGTGTTTCGCAAAAAAGCTTTTACTTTAAATAACCAAAATTTGCCGTGCTAAGAGTCCAGTAGTACACATACACTAGCGTGTGTGGTTAAGAGTGTGGCGTAAACAGCCAAAAATTTAGCTAGTATGGAGTGCTGTTTATCGGAGGAGGCGAAGGAACAGAAGCGTATCAATCAGGAAATCGAGCGACAATTGCGTCGAGACAAGCGCGATGCGCGAAGGGAACTCAAACTCTTACTGCTCGGTAAGTTTTAGTTGGGTTTTTGTAAATTCTAATAAAGGAGTATTGAAACCTCTCCAAAAATACATACACGTATTTTCTTGTTTTCTAAACTCTCCATATCTACATTTTTAGGTACTGGTGAGTCCGGCAAATCGACATTCATCAAACAGATGCGTATTATTCACGGCAGCGGTTACTCCGACGAAGATAAACGGGGTTACATTAAATTAGTCTATCAAAATATATTCATGGCCATGCAGTCGATGATCAAGGCCATGGATATGTTGAAAATTTCGTATGGCAAAGACGAGCACGGCGTAAGTGAAAGAGGAAAACAGCAAAAATTTTGTTTACAATTATGCCCAAGCTTTCTTTATACCTTTCATGACAGGGCTAATTTAATTTGAGGTGTTAAAACATTCACTAATGAATGAAGATACATCGCAGTTGAAAAGTTAACAAAGTTTACTGCATTAGTTGAGATGTAAATATTATATATTTTTTATTTATTCACAACCTACATACGAGCCAGATGTTGTGCTAGCGGTGACTGATGCCTGCTACTACGAAAGGTCGTCGGTTCAAAAAGCTCTTCATAAAAACACATAAGCCGTTTTGTAGGTCTCTCCATTTGTTGGAAAAATATGTAGACATAGGTATATTATATATTGGTTGCACTTGCATATTTCTATCGATCGTTTTACTTCCATGCAATTCTCTCACAACTTTCACTATGTGCAGCTTACAAAATTTCATATTCATAAGTGCGGGGGAAACAATTAATTGACTGAAATTTTACACGGCTAAGGCTTATGCCTTCCCTTCAGCGACCTAACCCCGTTTAGATCATCATTCGAATAGGTACATGAATGAAGCAACACCAGCAGGATTGCTTCAAGTCCTTCTCATCAGGGCTATCGTTCAACCCCACCGTGGACAGAATTGCCTAGGCCTTGAGGCCGCGTTGGGAATAAACCACGCCTTACGTGACCCCAAACCTTAACAGCTGTGGCTTTTGGCACTCACCTTGGGTAAATATCCACAGAAACTATTAACACAAATCTCTTGTGAGTCACAAACAATAGAACAAATTTCGAAATCAATTTTCAGAAAGGTATAGAAAAGGGCTGATTAACAGTATTAATGCGATTCCTTTGTTTTTTAATAACAAAATATACAATGAAAATATTTTTTTCATATTCTTATAATAGGAACTTGGCGAACTGGTGATGAGTATCGATTATGAAACGGTTACATCATTCGAAGATCCATATTTGTCAGCCATAAAAAATCTGTGGGCAGATACTGGCATACAAGAATGTTACGATCGACGAAGAGAATATCAACTTACAGATTCGGCAAAATAGTGAGTAAATTTGTTATAAGTTAGGTAGTTCAGTTGTTTTACATGCCAAATGCCAAAAGAAAGGAAAAAATTTATTGATTAGAAGTGCATTTCGATTAACATGTGGAAATACTACATATGTACCTATGTATATATAAAATCTTCAAATATATTTATTAGTTATCTGATGGATCTCGATCGTGTGGCTCAACCAGATTATTTACCAACCGAACAAGATATTTTGCGAGTTCGTGTGCCGACAACGGGGATCATTGAGTATCCCTTTGATTTAGAAGAGATTCGATTTAGGTACAGCATACAAATTGGATATATACTCGGAAACGTGTGCATTTTTATTTGTTACATCTAAAATTTACTACTAATTTATTTTGACTCTAATTTACTTTTGTAAATTTACTAAAATTGTTGGCAAATCAAATGAGTTATGGCTTTTAAACGTTTTATGCATGTTTAAACTAAAAGTTTTGTGTTCAACACTAACCCAATTTCTATACATTTTTAACTGCAAAATATTATACACAAACCTTTGCAAAGGAAAATCAAATTCTAAGTCATATTAAGCAAGTTCATGAAAAGTTTTTGGTATTTCATTTTAGTGAGTTCAATTGGGCTTAACAGGGTAACGGTTTTGTGCATTTTAAACAAGCGAACAATTGGCATCTTCGGCGTTTCTCAGCATTTCATACTGTAGAAAATAAAAATATTGATATAAAAAAAAATCAGTTTTAAAACATATTTGCGGCATACGACGAACCCATATCCTATGCATATCTTGTGACTAAACCGTTAGATAGTATGCAAAACGTAATTTATTTCTTTGAGAACTTAAAATTTCAATTTCTTTCATTTGGAAACGCGCAGCTATCTTAGTGATCTTGATCGTATTGAAAAGGAAGATTTCCTGCCCTCTGAGCAGGATATTCTGCGTGCTCGTGTGCCCACTACAGGGATACTTGAGTATCCATTCGATTTGGACGGTATCGTGTTTAGGTATAATTTCTGTTAAAACAAAAATTTCACACAATAGCAGATGCCAGTAAAGTACGCCAGTATGCCTTGTATGAACAAATGCAGAAGCTCGAGATAAGAAATCATTGCTTCTTCATATTAGCAAAAGTTGTAAAAGAATCATTTTATACTCTTTCATCAAACTCATACACTGTTTTTGTTGCTACTTCTTTACTTATGCGCTTTGTGTTGTAGTTTCATTTCTTTTCAAACTTCATTTATTACTTTTGTATATGCCATATTTAATTAATATCCAATGTATTTTGTAATGCTTCTGACATATATATAACTGTAGTATTTGTGTAAGTGTTAGTTTATGTTTTAACGCTTAATTTCTATGTATGTAAATCTACGACCTTTATCTAATTCATTTCCACTTGCTTCTTCGTCGAATTTTCCTTCTACGACCAGAATGGTGGACGTGGGCGGTCAGCGTTCTGAGAGAAGAAAATGGATTCATTGCTTTGAGAATGTGACTTCAATCATATTTTTGGTTGCGCTATCGGAATACGATCAAATTTTATTCGAATCTGATAATGAGGTAACTGATAGTAATAATCTCTTTATAGCTCGATCGTGTACGCATCATAATTTGTTTTTGTTTTTCCACCCGCAGAATCGTATGGAAGAATCAAAAGCTTTATTTAGGACTATTATTACGTATCCGTGGTTCCAAAATTCATCAGTTATTCTTTTCTTAAATAAGAAAGACTTATTAGAGGAGAAAATTATGTATTCGCATTTGGTAGATTACTTTCCCGAATATGACGGTAAGTAAATAAATTATGAATTATTTCGCTTACTACATTTGTTTAAAGTACATAATATATACTTGCTTACATATACATATATTATTAATCATTTATTAGTGGTAAACGAGCTAAGCGAAACTTCATGAGCCCTTCATAATGTTTATATCCACTTATTATTATTTTATGTACTAAATGAAATTTTTGAAATCATATAACCTTCTGTGATTGCAAAGGACCCAAATGTGATCACGCTGCCGCTAAACAGTTTGTCTTGAAAAAATATCTGGCCGCGAATCCAGACCCAGAACGTCAATGCTACTCCCACTTCACCACAGCTACAGGTTAAAACAATAAAAATTCTCTTAAAAGCTTACCCTAGTTTTGGCCGTTCTAAATGTAAGAGAAATGCTGTTTGGTAATGTTGAGCTGGGCGTACAATATTGAGTTCGCTATTATAGAAGTGTGCTTAAAAAAAAAAAATATATATATATATATATGTAAAATGTATATGCAATATAAGTAAATATTTATGTATGTTTGTATATAACAGCCGTATCGCTTGTACTGTATGGTATATTTTTCTTAATATTCTTTCAAATGTAATGCTAATTAGGTCCACAAAGAGATGCGATTGCCGCCCGAGAATTCATACTTCGTATGTTTGTAGACCTTAATCCTGATTCCGAAAAAATCATCTATTCTCATTTCACCTGTGCTACGGGTAAGTATATTCATGCGCCTATAAGTATGTATGGTATATACGTACATATGTATGTATGTATTTACACATTGAATGGATTGTTTGTTTGTTTGTTTACCTGAAAGCGTGTTTCAATGGAAAACCGAATTTTAGAATGATTTATTAAGTGTATGAATGAGCGAAGGAACGCAACATTTAAGTTGAACCAAACTGCGGGCATCACAGGTATATAATTGTGTTACATATAAGCGTCAATTTCAGCTATTCACACGTATTTAGCTTAGAATAAAATGCTAGCTTGAGAAATTAGAAACGGTGAGCGTGCGTGAGAGGTACCGCTAGACTTTAAAATGTACTCTGTGTTGTAGTTGCCAGTGAATTATTTAAACATAAAAAAATACAAAAAAAGGGTTTTGATAATAAAATTTAACTCACTCTTCGCATAAAAACCGCTGCCCACTTGGATACAACTTGGACTACGCCCTGCGCATCGTCCTGCAGATACCGAAAATATTAAGCTCGTATTTTGCGCTGTGAAAGATACCATTATGCAAAATGCTCTCAAGGAATTCAATTTGGGTTAAAAGAAGCAACTTTTTAAGTATCACTAGCACTAAGCCATGATTGATGTTCGAACGGAGGAAGGCACGCTTCATCATTCCCAACCAACAACCAAACACTGACTTATTAATATGCATACATACACGTAGTTCATACATGCACATCACAACGACGTGTTTAACTTTCGCTTCTTTATACTACGATTTTATTAAAATATACACATTGGCTTATGTAGCTGCAGAAAAGTAAATAAACATTAAAAAAAAAACTTAAAAAAATATATATACATACATATAATAGCAAAAAACAGGATTTTATTTTTAAAAATAAATACAATCAAAGTTGCGATAATGAATTTTAGCAATATATTTTCTTTTCTTAACTTTAATTTTACCTATTACCTATTTTATTTAAGTATTCGTCAATAAAAAAAATAATTTACTAAACGCTATTTTATTTTTGTACTTCTTTCGTCTCAAAGAGGCTTCTCCATTCGCTCAAATAAATGATTTTATTATAACTTCTAAAAAAGCTCGACTAGACTTAAGGCCGGCCAGGTTCCTACAAAAAACGTGTTTCTTTTCAAACAAATTTTATTCATTAAAAATATATATGTATTTTTAAATCATAGTTTTTGTAGCTTACAAAAATATTAATTGAAGAAAAAAGAGAATTTTAAAGGCGGCTCTTAAAATTGCTGCTGAACTCGCCCCTTTTTTTTAGTGAGTAACAGCGATAACTGTAAAACTAATCATCTGAAGAAAAAATCAAAACGGTTTCTTATTCTGTGGATATAGCCGGAACTGTAATTAAACATTTTCACACAAAAAAAATTGCGGACTTTTTAATTTTTTTTACACTTTTTTCAATTTTAATTGATTATAACTTTTTCTAAATAACAATGAATATTTTCGGTGTAGTACCTACCACAGAGAGATATTTTAGGAGTAAAGTGCCGTTTAGTTCATGCCGATAAGCTCAATAGTTTCCAAATAAGAGTGTAACCCAGTTGAGAAAACGTGTTTTCGAGAAAAAGCTGATTAAAATACTCGAAGTAAAGTACTAGTTACCGCTAGACGCACTCAGCTCTCCCCTCTTCTATACTTACTTCTTGCTAGAACCGAATTGAACCAGTCGGAAAGTATGAATTCACAAGAAAGGATATTGAAATTCATAAAAGAACTCCTCGACAATAGTCACCAAAGATAAAACTTTTTTCAAAACACATTGAGCGGTTAAAAAAAAAAATTTTTTTTGTGCAGAATTATATAAAAGTATGGTAAGTTTGTAAGTGAGTGCTATTGTGTTTCCGTTAGCTGAGATCCGTTTTGCTTGTGTGAGTGAGTGTGTTCAAATAACAGCTTTTAAAGGTCCAATCACGTTATATTTTGTTACTGATTATTTAACAGTAATTAATTAAATTTATAAAATACATATAAAAATTCTAAGAAAAAAAATACTTGCGAGAAAGCAAAAGCAAAAATTTGATTTACTAATCTTATTAAAACAAAGGTTATTTCTGTTGGAAAAATAATATTGCAATGGCACGTTGAGTTGTTTATAAATATGAATAATAAAAATATTTTCTTGTAATAAAAAAAAAATATATATTTTTGTGTTTATAGATTTTTTCCTTTTTTTTTTAATAAATTCAATTGTTGGACCTCCATAAGCTGATGCAAAGTAAAAATTAATTATTAAATCTCAACATTTTTTTTTTTGTTTTCTCATTCCATTTTAGATACTGAAAATATTAGATTCGTGTTTGCAGCTGTTAAGGACACAATTCTCCAATCAAATCTGAAGGAATATAATCTGGTCTGAAGTGCTTTCAGATGGTCAGACAATTTTTGTGATTTTATTATATTCATGATTCCTTTTTCGCATAAAAATATATAAGTAAAACAAACAAAAAATACATATAATACTAAATTAAAAGAAAAAAGTAAGCAAAAAAAAAAATTAGACAAACAAAATAGCGCAAATGGCGAGGAATATATATAAACTAACGATTATTTAAAAGAAAATTTTATAACGCAAAATAAAAATAGAGAATAACATTAATAATAAAATGTATAAAAGGATCCCGAAGTCAAAAGAAAATAAAATATATAAATAAAATTTTATTTAATAATATTAGAAACAAAAATAAATAAAATTGCTACGGAAAAGAGACGGCGATCAGGCACAAACAAGTGTAAGAATATGCGGGAAATGATAACTAAATAGCACAAAACTGGAAGAGTGAAAATTTTAAGTTAAAAACATAAATGGGAAATTGCTTTCAAGAAGAGCGCCATCATCATGAAGAGGAGTTTCATTCACACACAGAAAAGCATTCATACTTACATTCATGCATAACTATCCAATTCAAAGCGAAAAATACTGAATACCAAAAGAAAAGAGAAAATCAAATAAATATTGAAGAAGAAAAAAAAAACAAAATATATATTGTACGAATATATATATAAATATATATATATATATAATTACGAATATATACAATACACACTTTCATACATACATTATTTGTACATGTATTGATGGAGTGAACCATTAGATGTAACCATAATTGAAAATTAAAACAAAACAAAACAAAAAAATGCTAAAAGAAAGAGAATTCTTCTTATTCAATGAGAAGCTTAACCAAATATTTAATTAATTATAAAAAAAAAACAAAACAATATGTAAAAATGAAAAATGAAAATGAAGAAATCATAACAACAACAACTACACATGCAACCGCTCCTACAACGACTGCCCGACTCGGCGCTGCATTGATACATACATACACATCGTACTGAACGTAACTCCAGATGCAGCAGACAGGTGCAAGTGGCAGCAGCGGTTGACGGCAGCAAATTTACATACATACATAGTTAAGGCGAAAGATTTGGGAGGGATAAAAAAGCCGCGAAACCAAAAACTTGCAAGTTTTTATTTTTATTTTTAATATTTTTTTTTAATGTTAATTAATAAACGTAAATGAGAAATGAATGAAAAATGTTAATAATAATAAATTGCACAACTTATCGTAAATGATAAAAAAAAAAACAACGCCATATACACATATACACGCACAGACGCTGGCACGCACACTCTCAAGTACAAGTTTACATTTAAAGCGTGAGAATGAGAAAGTTAAAAGAAAAAGAAAAAGAAAAAACGTGTGTAAAATGCAATATAACGGTGCATATGTTGCATATGTTTAAATAAATGCACATACACGCAAACACATATAAAAACATAAAAAAAATTGCATGCGAAAATGTAACGTATGATGGTTGCTATAGAGTCATAAACACATACATATATACGAACACATATATACATACATAAAACTGCTTAACACATAAACCAACAACAATAAGCTATGTTAAAACAAAAATAGCAATTTAAAATATGTGTTTCTCTTGTAACACAATGGCATTAGAATTGTTGTAAAATTAATTGACGATTCGCTAATACATATTGTAAATCTTAAGTTTGCGTTTTTTAAGTTTTGAAAACCACAACCGTATGTATGTATGTACTATTATTGTTTTATTTTTATTTTTTTAATTTGAATTAGTTGATTATTTTTGTTCATGTTTTCTGTTTTATTAGTATTTTTTGTAAATTTTATAAATAAATATAATACAAAGTTAAATAATGATAATGATAATAATAATGGTATAAATAATTTATATGCGCTCATAATAAGAAACAAAAATATTTATATTTTGAACAAATAAAGAATGAAAAATAAAATAAATATAATATGAAAAAAAAAAATATCTACCACGATGCTGATTGATGTATAACATTTTTGTGGGAAGAACAAACTAAAGTGGTTGTACAACGCCTAAAGGAGCGGTGAAAAGGTGTTGGTGGAAGACCTGAAAGCTTTAATTATAATGCAAACTCACGTTTAGCAGTCGAAAGACGTGGAATTTTCTTCGTTTTTTTTTTTTATTGTGCAAAGCATCGGCGCTCCTCCAATAGCTTTTATAGATATAAGTTCTATCAAACGACGCGTTTATTGATCACGGTACGGACGGAAGAAAATGACGGTTTGTGTTGTTTTGTTTCGATTTTAATGCGTGCAGTTTAAGTGATTTGTGTTTTATGTTTTTTTTTTTATATTTACTCATAATAAATATATGTATTAAGTACATTTGTGTGCTCATACTAAATTTGAAAAGTAAAGGTTTCGAATAACAGGACGCAAGCTAATAATGTTCAACGTTAAAAATTAACTCAGAAATCAAATAATTGAAAATAATTTTTTATTTCAATTAATATTTAATTTTGAATTTATTTATGAAATAAAAATGCACGCACACATACACACACACACATACAAACCCAAAACAATTCGATTTCTCGGTGCATTGGTATATAACACGCAATTGGAGTAGGCATGCACAACAATCTCCGCCATATGCGAGCGTATGCCTCGATAAAAAGTGTTGAAAGCTTTAAATAAAAAGAAACTAAATTATGTAAATGTAAATGAATTATTATAGAAAATGAAGTGTGAATGTGCACAAATTGTGTTAGCTTTTAAAAAGCTTAGAACTTACATGCATACATATGTAGTTAGTACATGTGCAAACCGTTAACGTAGTTGTTGTTGGGTGATTACCACAGAAAAGCGGCATTCATGTAGAGTGTGAGGAAGAGTTATTTTTTGAAAAAAAAAACGAAAAAAACTGCATTTTCTTTAACACATTTTTTTTTTTTATTAATTTGAAACATTTTTACATAAATTCAGCTAAGTTGCAATTTTTTACTTTTCCGTCCAAATGAAAAAAAGAAAACAAAAATAAATAACTGTTTTTTTTTATACGTCTCATATAAATGAGGTTATTTTTTTGTACATTTTATGTACACAATGTGCACAAAAATGCATTAAAACTTAATTTTTCCTAGAGATTTGCTTTATTTTATGCTGCTCAATTTGTTTAATTTCACCAGTGCTTAAATTATTTTTGAAAATTTTAAAATGTTCAACTTATTTAATACAAGTGGGATCAAGAAAATGGTTTCGATGAAACATAAATATTTTCATTTTGACCAAATTATCATAGTAAATGTTATATTTTTACGCTCAAAACATATACACATACATATACATATATACATTGTATCAACTGAGCTGCTCCCACCACAAGCCAACGGAACGCCACACACAGATATTCCTATTCAATTTTAACATTGATACCAAAAAAAAAAAAAAACAAATGGCAAAGCTACTTTGAGTCTCACTTTTTTGTTATATATCATTTAAATAAGCAATACCAGAAGTTGTTTCAGATCTCAGATTTAAGCAAAACGAAGAAATGGAAAATTTTGTTGAAAAAAACATACATATACTTTTTATATATGTAAAATTATTTGACCCCGACATACATAAATCCTTCTAATCAAAATGTATATTTGCACACACAATCGATAAACTTACCGTTATTGTATTTTATATCAATTCTAATCGACATTTATAGAAAAACCAAATATAAAAATACGCATTTAATCGAAGTGAAAATGTGTAACTCAGTAATTTCCAAACGATCCTTAACGCGGCATATGAATAAAATGTATATCCTGTAACAAAGACATTATGAATATATATCTACAAACAAAATATAGAAATCTAAATAGAAATACAGCAAGGCATGAGAGTTAAAATATTTACAAAAACAAATCGTGTATCAAAAGAATTTTGGACTTAAAAACTTTCATATTCACAATTCGCGTACTTAAATACATACATATATGTTATATACATATAAATATAAAGTGTAGTATTAATATATCATAATATGTGCCGCTTTTTCGATTTATGCCAACTATACATACATACATATAGCCACGAACAAACAACTACACCGAAACTATTTAGATAAAACAATGAAAATGAAAAATGTCTAAACCATAATATTCATCATGCTGTAAACATATTCATCATCAAAAAAACAAAAATACCTTTATAATCATATTAAGAAATGAAAAATAAATCGAATAAGAGCAAACAAGCTTTGGCATTCAAAATTTGTATATCCAGTTAAAACTAATAAGCAAAAAGTTAATCCTTATTCACTCAACATAAGTATGCATATATACATACATATGTACGTAAAATAGTCAAGCAAAGTCGATTTATGAAAGCATTTTTGTAATAACTTTCTTCAACTTTCGGCTTTTGCGACTCGACTTTGATGTTTTTTTTTTTTTTTTTTGTTGGCGCAAATCAGCATGCAACATGAAACTTGCGCTCAAAAGAGGTGTGTTCGTTCTTTGGCGCGACTCTTCACAAAACAACTCACATACCTTCGTAATTAAGCACTCTAAGTGTGTACTTGCTACATTCATTTACTGTTATATTAATATTATTTTATTCACTAAGTCTTGGTCTTGGTTTCGCGTGTAATGAGAATTAAGTGCGTTGGATGAATAAAGAAAATAATGAAAACTCAATTTTTTATTGTATACCAAAAGCGATGGTATGCCAATGATTTGTTTTTATTGCCTATTAGAAATGTTCTAAGACGTGTAAATGCATTTTGTATTTTTATAAAAAAAAAATTATAATTTTATAAAAAAAAATACGAAAATTTAAAACCAAGCAATGCATTTTTTTACGTGGTCGCAAAGTCATATTTTTTTTAACAATAAAAAAAAAATAATTAAATTGTATATGAAAACTCTTTGAGGGGAGATATATTTTTTTTTCTTTTTTTAATATTATTTGAAAATTTCAAAATTGCTCGTTGTACTAAGCACAAAATTAAAAAAAAAAACTGGCTTAAAACTTTTTATTGCGGTTTACACAAAAGAAAAACATTGAGTAATTCACAAAAAAAAAGGAATGAAATTGCTTTAAACTTCAACTAAGAAATATTAAGAAGCCACCAACAAATGTAGTAATTTTCATTTCATTTATGCATTTTGCTGTCGAAAAAATCTAAATTTCGATTTGTGAGCACCCTGAAACTGTAATTCTGTAATTTAATCTTCTATTTATTATACATTGCGTATAACCAAAGAACGCCTGGATCTATTTCTATGATGGCCAAAAAAGGCGAATACGAAAAAAAAAATTCCGGGAAGTGGATCAGTGACCAACTTATTCGAAAAAATCGAAAATTATTACCTTTCGAGTACCCGATAACGAACTTTTACTTCGCAGTTTTTCATACATATTTACATTTTTCAGAAAGAAGTCAAGAAAAGAAAAAGCGATTAATCTCTGATCATATCTCCAGCCGGTAAAAATAATTAAGCCGCTGTAATATGTGAACGTCAAACTTTTAATGCACATAATATTTGGCATTAGGTAAACCTTGGTTAGAACTTTTCGTTGTTCTTTACAATAATACCAATTATAAAATATAAAATGAACAAAATACATAAAGCCACAACAAAGTGTGACTGGGCTCTTCTAGTTTCAATTTCCAGTAATTGAATTTCCATTTCCATGAAGTGTTACTGCTCTTGAAATTAAGTTTCGAAATGTGTTTGTCTTGGCATGCAATTTGAAGTTAACTAGTTGCTACGTCTGACGGTACTTTTAGGTTTGTTTATTGAGCTGCTCTATATAGGTTACTCTACTTCAAGAAATTGTTTTTTATTACCTTTTTATTGCTTGTAATTACGCTATGTTTCGATTCACGAGTCTGCTCTAAGCAGAAACAGACCAACTGGAGCACGATTTTCAGCTCTATCTTTTGGTAGAATCAATTAAAGCAAGTAATCAGGGGCGTTATAGAAACCGATACTGAATTGCTTATTCAACGGAATTGAAAATCAATATCTTTTTGAAATGTTATGCAAACGACTTGATTTTTCTTTATTCAAAGTTAAGCAAAACTGTTTTTCGAATTAGCTGAAAACAAACTTTTGCGAAAAATTCAGCAATTTAATTTGATTTTTGTACTGGCTTTAAGGCATTTGTGATTTTTAATTAAAGATAAATATATACTTCAGCCGTGATAGCATTTTTGATGATAAAAGGATTTGATAAGAGCAATCCACTGGAGCTGCCATAGTCGATGTTCATATATGCAATTACCATTCTGTTTTTACGATACTAAATTGATTAGTATGCAGATTTGTAGACCAATATCGTCTTGACAAGTGCTGAATGTCATTGAACGCAGGTTAGATAGACTGTCCATCGCACTTGTGCTCCAACTTGCAGCGACATTGCGGTTTTCGGCCGAAAGCTGCTACCAACGGTCTTTGAGCAATGAATCAAATATCTCCTCAGCGCCACCTACAATCGCGGTGGTTGTAGACCGATAAATCAGTTTCTGTAACACACAAAAC